TCTAACAGCTTTGGGACCCCCAGAACAGAACAATGCATTTTGTGACTGAGTTTGTCCTCCTGGGTTTCCATGGTCAACGAGAGATGCAGAGCTGCTTCTTCTCATTCATCCTTGTTCTCTATCTCCTGGCACTGCTAGGAAATGGAGCAATCGTCTGTGCAGTGAAATGTGACAGGCGGCTCCACACACACATGTACATCCTCTTGGGAAACTTTGCCTTTCAAGAGAGCTGGTACATTTCCTCCACTGTCCCAAACATGCTAGTCAATATCCTCTCTGAGACTAAAACCATCTCCTTCTCTGGCTGCTTCCTGCAATTCTATTTCTTTTTTTCATTGGGTACAACAGAGTGTTTCTTCTTATCACTTATGGCTTATGATCGGTATCTGGCCATCTGTCGCCCATTACACTATCCCTCCATCATGACTGGGAAGTTCTGTGTAATTCTGGTCTGTGTATGCTGGGTAGGCAGATTTCTCTGCTATCCAATCCCCATTGTTCTGATCTCCCAACTTCCCTTCTGTGGGCCCAACATCATTGACCATTTTGTGTGTGACCCAGGCCCATTGTTTGCACTGGCCTGCATCTCTGCTCCTTCCACTGAGCTTATCTGTTACACCTTCAACTCGATGATTATCTTTGGGCCCTTCCTCTCCATGTTGGGGTCTTATACTCTGGTCATCAGAGCTGTGCTTCGTATTCCCTCTGCTGCTGGTCGAACTAAAGCTTTCTCCACATGTGGATCCCACCTAATGGTGGTGTCTCTATTCTATGGAACACTTATGGTGATGTATGTGAGCCCAACATCAGGGAATTCAGCAGGAATGCAGAAGATCATCACTCTGGTATACTCCGCAATGATTCCACTCTTAAACCCCCTTATCTACAGTCTCCGGAGCAAAGACATGAAAGATGCTCTGAAGAGAGTCCTGCAGTTAACAGTTAGCCAAAACTGAGATATCTCTGAAAAAGAAGCCAAATTGGTCACCTCTGATTTTAACTTTTTTTAACTATAGAGAGTAGCTTTAGTAGTATATTCTGGCTCACCCTCAGGTACAGACTTATTTTCACAGTTTCTTAGCAGTTCAAGTTCAGCTCATGAATTATAAATACCAATGCTCAATAAAACATTTTAAACATATGTGGCCTCACTGAGTAGTTATGTGGTGGGTGGGTGCATATATACATATATTATTTTTCTGTGATATATCTTCGCTAGTTTTTTTTTTAAAGACCTTAACAGCAAAATGTATTTATTTGAATAGAAGTTCAACATAGTCTTGAAAGATAAAGTAAGGACACTGCTTGAGCAGACATAATCTAACTATGGTACAGAGGTAGCATATACCAGAAAGATGTACACTCATTGTTATAATAGACCCACGTTAAATCATTATATAAATTATTTTCCAGTGCAGAGAAAAACTAAGAAGTCTGTTTGGGGACATTAATATTCTTGAAGCCATGGTTTAAATTTTGCTCTTTTATCTTGAACAGAAGAATTCTTTATTACCTTAAAAATAGGATATATTATAAACAGCCTACTATAACTTCAAATAAAACTGTTTTCTCATAAATACATCACGTTACAGTTGAAATTAAGGACATGCCCGATCTTACCGCGATGCAATGTTCTTTTTCATTCAGAAATTTCCATGAAGTCGCTAGTTTTAATCTTAGCTGACAGAAGAAATCAGTTGCATATGTACCCAAGCCTTTCAAAAAAGTGAGATCTGGCTAAGCACAGTGGCTCATGCCTGTAATCCCAGCACTTTGGGAGGCCAAGGCTGGAGGATCACCTAAGATCAGGAGTTCAAGACAAGCCTGGGCAACGTGATAAAATCCTGTCTCTACTAAAAATATAAAATTAAGCCAGGCATGATGGTGCACACCTATAATCCCAGCTACTGAAAAGGCTAAGGCATGAGAATTTCTCAAACCTGGGAGGCGAAGGTTGCAGTGAGCTGATATTATGCCACTCCCCCACAGCCTGCATGATAGAGAAAGACTGCATCTCAAAAAAAAAAAAAAAGTGAAATCTTTTCAATTCAGAAAAAATTTTTTTTTCTGAAATGGAGTTTCACTCTTGTTGCCCAGGCTGGAGTGCAATGGCACAGTCTCAGCTCACTGCTCCACCAGCAGTTCTCCACCCCCCAGGTTCAAGTAATCCTCTTGCCTCAGCCTCCCAAGTAACTGGGATTACAGGTACCCACCAACACATCTGCTTATTTTTGTATATTTAGTAGACACGGGGTCATTTTTGTATTTTTAGTACAGACAGGGTTTCACCATGTTGGCCAAGCTGATCTCAAACTCCTGACCTCAGTGATCCACCAGCCTTGGCCTCACATAGTTCTGGGATTACAGGCATGAGCCACCATGCCCTGCCAGAAAATAAACATTCTTAAAGAATATTTGTGTGTCAAGAGGCCACCAGAAAAAACCTAGTAATAGACATCTTTCATTGTTTGAGGGTGTATTTCACACCAAGAACAGAACATGCTTTAAACCTCTATGCTTCGTACCTCTATCCCTTAGAGAGGAAAACCAAACTTTTTGCCATTCAAAGCCTTCAGTCAATAGACTGGCCCATTCAGTTTTTTCTCCTAGCACAAGCTTTGCACTTCATGATGATCAGTACTCAAACATATTTAGTCCCAACTGGGTATCTTTACTCACAGTACTTCCTCTCTAAATTAGTTGTGACAACCCCAATATCACTTATAATATGGAACAATGCCCTAAACATATTTTTATTTGTACCCAGCAGTTTCCATGTCAAATTGGCACCACAGGAACACATTTAATCTAGGGCTTTACCTATTCCATAGCATAAAACCACACGCTGTTTGGGCACAAACTTAAGGAGATCATGGGGTTTCCTCAGAGTTAATATAACACATTATTTTTAATAATCCCTATAGGAAATGTTAACAAAAATATCAATTAAACCCCAGGCAAGATGTATAAAGTTCCCTAGGGACAGCACAGAAAGTTACAGAATCACTGGAACATGAAGAGACACCTGAGAATTCTCCACAGTGGCTCAATTGCGGCATAAATTAAGACCAACGCATAGTTTCGACACCCTCAATGAGAAACAAACCACTAGAATCTTAGGGTACAAGAAAAATGAAATAAGCCACTGGTGAAGCTCTCACCCAGGACTTCCATATTAGAGCCAATGAAGGAGAGAGTCCTTGTGGCCCCAGCTCCAGGCTCTCTACAAGATGATCTAGGAAAGCTTCCTGGTATGCTGGTATGTAGAAGATGTCTTCTTTGTTGGGCGTTGCTGCTGTTATACACCACAGATGGACTACTCACCTATACATTTGTTCATTCCACATGCTCCAGAGATTGAGTATCAAAGAATATTGGTTTGTCTTTCAGCTCAAAAACCAAAAGGAAAAAAAAAATCCCTCAGAGAGTTTAGATCTCCATGCAATTCACACTTTCCAAAATAAATGGACTAGTTATCACAGGTCTTTCCCTTCTCAGGAAGTGCCTGAGGCACCAGAAATGCTATGACTTTTGTAGAGATTTTGAGCTTAATAGTATGGAACTAGCTTTATCCACTGGGACTAAAACCTAAAGAAAACTGAATTTTTTTTTAATCTTCTCTCTCAGTTTTCCTCTGTCCATTCCATTACTTGCCCTGCACCTTCAGAAGTGATATTTAAAAAGAAGAAAGAATAAAAATCAAATCAATGTTTTTGAGGACTAAGATCTCACATAGATTTAGTGACTAATATATTAGAAATTGTTTCTTACAAGTATGTTGGAAATTATCTGTGAAATTTATTTACCATGCTTTCCCTATGGCTAATACTTTTTCTGCAAGGTTATTGTTTGTTGTTTTCAATGTCAATGAAAGTAGTCTACGCTTAAAGAAACAGCTCAGACTTGTGCATTTTGATTTGGGGTCAAAGTCTGTGAATCTGAGTTCAAAATCATGTTGTTTCTTCTCTGTTCCAAGGACAAGTGGCTGCTCTCTGCATCACTGCTTTCTCGTCTCGTTGAGGAGAGTGGTTTCCTGCTTGGAAAGGAGGAGAATATATAGAGAACCCATAGAGGGAAACCATTCTTTCATGATGTCTTACAAAAATGACCCTCAATGTAGGTTTAGCTTAGTTCTTCATAATCATCCTAGTTTTAAAAATTAAAAATTACTGATCCCCATCTTGCAGTTTCTTTCTTTCTGGCTTCTTGTCCACCAGACTACCACCTTCTGCAAAACCAGCTCTATGAAAAGGTTTATGTTTCCTTCTAACATAGTAGATTCATAGTTCACCTTGTGCATTACTAACTTGTGGGGCTGCAACAGCTGTATGATCATAAATGTATTTCTTATTTAATATAACCTCACTGAATAGGAGGGGTTTTTTATTTGATTATGTTCAGAGAGTACTATAAATATTATATATATACATACACACACATACATATTGTGTGTATGTATATATATATTTATATATAAAATGCATATATCACTTCTATCAAATACTATATATGTGCTACTTTTGAGAAAAATCTAAGACAACTTATCTTCTTATCAATCAAAAAAGTTAAAGGTATCTTGTTAAAATTTTTCTGAAGAGTCCCCTATGTTAAAGCTATCATTTACTCTTTTTTTGGAGTTCTATTTGATTCTTGAAAATATGTCTTCTTTGGTGGTGGTGTTCTAAAGAAAACAAACCAAATTTTGGAAAATGAGTAAATAATTATTTTTGAAATAACATCTTTGATTCTCTTATATCTTTTTTTGAATACTTGGAGGTTTTTTTTTTACATATACTAAAGAAAGATCTAAATAGTGAATTTTTAAGAAAATTCTAGCAAAAGTAATGAGGAGCTTTAGAAGAAAATATCTCAGTAACTGTAGTTTTATTCTCTAAAATATCTTATGTTATCTTTAATGAAATATTTATTTTTAAATGCATATGGAACATGATAAATTATAATGTAAAATTAATCACCAGGAAATAAATAATTATGACATTTTATTGCTAAAAGCAAGTGATTAAATACCAAATTGCAAATAAGCTGTAGTACAACATAAATGTCTCTAACTAGGAAAAAGCAAAATATATAACGAATTTTATCATCTAAATATCCTGGTTGATTTTCTCTTGGTATCACTAAAAAGAAAAGTTGGAAGGAAATAAATACTCCTAAAATAAAAATAGCTGCAGAAAGAAAGTATATGAAATAATGTCAAATCACAAACTACTCAAAGCTGTCAAAAGTCTCAGATTTGAATATATTTAAAGTGATGGCATGTGTCTTCATATTTTGAAGTGAAGGGCACTAAGTAATTGCTATATATGAACATCTTTTACTGAAAAACAAATTAGATATAAAACAAACCATTTTTGCCTCTATTTCAAGAATTTTTTTTATATCAAAAGATGAAATGATTTTTGTCCATTGCCACAGAAAATTCAAACAGCCTGGACTTTACAAGAATCAGAGCCAAAGGACTCATTCAAGAAAGATAAATCAGGGTTTGCTTAAGAATTTTTTTAGAATATCCAGTATATTCACCTGAAAGAGTCAAACGCCTTATCCCCCCCAAAAAAGCTTCAAGATGCCTTATCAGCAAAGCAAGTTGTCATTGCCTATCTGTGTTCTCTCCACAGTCTGGGGGAACCACTAATAACTCACACATATCTACTGTGACACAGTTTGTCTTGCTGGGCTTTCCTGGTCCCTGGAAAATTCGGATCATCTTTTTCTCAATGATTTTGTTGACCTACATCTTGACTCTGACTGGGAATATGGCCATCATCTGTGCAGTGAGGTGGGACCACCGGCTCCATACACCTATGTACATATTCCTGGCCAACTTCTCCTTCCTAGAGATCTGGTATGTGACCTGCACAGTCCCCAACATGCTGGTAAATATTTTTTCCAAAACCAAGACCATATCCTTCTCTGGATGCTTCACTCAGTTCTACTTCTTCTTTTCCCTGGGCACAACTGAATGCTTCTTCCTCTGTGTCATGGCTTATGATCGGTACCTGGCCATCTGCCACCCTCTTCGCTATCCCTCCATCATGACTGGTCAGTTCTGTGCCATTTTGGTATCTCTTTGTTGGCTCATTGGTTTCCTTGGACATTCAATTTCCATTTTCCTCATTTCTCAACTACCTTTCTGTGGTCCCAACATCATTGATCATTTTCTGTGTGATGTGGACCCACTGATGGCATTGTCCTGTGCCCCTACTTACATCATAGAGCATGTGTTCCATTCTGTGAGCTCTCTTTTCATCATCCTCACCATGGTGTACATCCTTGGGTCCTATACCTTAGTACTCAGAACTGTGCTTCAGATTCCTTCTTCAGCTGGATGGCAAAAGGCCTTCTCTACCTGTGGATCGCACTTGGTTGTGGTGTCTCTGTTCTATGGAACCATAATGGTGATGTATGTGAGTCCCACATCTGGCAACTCAGTTGCTATGCATAAGGTTATCACACTAATATATTCTGTGGTAACACCTGTCTTAAACCCTCTCATCTACAGCCTTCGCAACAAGGACATGAAATATGCCCTCTATCGTGTCTTCTGTGCAATGAGAATTATCCAGAGCTCATGAATAGGTTTTTTTTTTATAACTCAGTAACTCTCTAGGCAATTGGAAGAATAATCCTCATCTTTTAACACAAACTGACTTGGTTTTATTCATGGTCATCACAGTCCTTTTGTACAAGCAAAACTTTTCATGTATCTAATCATATTCTGATGAGCTTCTAGTTTCAGAAACGTGTTCCATGGGAGCAAGTTGGCCCCAACATATGGTAAAAATAACCCTTAAAAATCTTAATATCTATTTCCAGAAAGGCTTTTACTTTGGTGTGCAGTCTCTAAGCCACACAATTTTGCTAAAACATGAATCAAATTGATTGTTTGCTAACATAGTTGTCTATCACTTCTTTAAAAAAGACACAATAGGCCTGTTGTGCTGGATGTTTGGTGACACATCACTGTATACACTAAGATACACTTAGAGATTGTAAATTCAGTTTCACAATTCTTAATTCATCATCCTCATCAACAGTGTACCAGGGGAGGCTGGAAATTAGATTTACAGAGAGTTTTAGTACGCAGTCCTGCTAAGTTAAGTGAGGGTCACATCAAAAGAACCACTTAGAGGGCTTGACCCTGTCCCCTGAAATCTGAAGGACACCTTGACTGTCCTTGATTTGTACCTGGAAAAAATGTAAAGACTGTGAAAGAGATGACTCTGGAAAAGAGTAAAAAGAGATGGGCTACAGCAGGAACAAACTAAACTCCCACCCATAACAGAACAAATATAGAATACCCACATTTGACCTAGTTAGACCCTATGAGAAGTAACCTTCTTGTGCTGTCTTAAAAGGAACCCTACCCAAAAGTGCTACTTGGAAAAGTAAGGCCATTTAAAAAGTAAGTCTATACAGAGTAGGTCACCCAAATCCAGGGTTAAAAGAAGTCATATGGAGTCAGCCAGTGAAGCACTGCCCACATCAGAGAACCTGCAGTTTGGAGAGCCCACCTCAAAAAAAGAAAATATTTCATGAAAAAAACATTTAGACTATTGTTAAGCCAATAAGGCAACAATATCTAAGTCAAGAAAAAGACTTTCTGCCTTTACTTCTTTCCCACCCCAAACCTAGAGTAACCAGAGTCAGCAGAGTAATGTAGGAAAAGAGAAATGAAAGGTCAGAGGGAAAGAAGCAGATCAAGCCTAAATCAGATCCAGTTTAGAGGAATGAGTTTTAATTTGGATAAAAAAAATAAAATTTTAGTTTTCGACTATACAGTCAGACTTCAGTTATCTATGGGTCCCACATTCATGGATTCAACCAACCTCAGATTAAAAATATTTGGGGGAAAAATGTATCTTTACTGAACATGTACAAATTTTTTTCTTGTCACCATTCCCTAAATAATATGGTATAACAGCTATTTACATTGCATTTGTATATACATAACCTAGAGATGATTTAAAGTATATGGGAGGAGGTTACAGTGAGCTATGATTGTGCCACTGCACTTCAGCCCTAGCAACAGACCCTGTCTCTAAAAAAATAAAAAATAAAATAACATATAATGAAGGATATGCAATAAAGTGTGGGTGATATGAAAATACGACACCATTCTACATAAGGAACTTGAGCTTGTGGATTATGGTATCCACAGGGGGTCCTGAAACCAATCCCTCATGTCTACTGAGAAACAAATGTACTAGAATTCCTAAATGGCCTGGAAAAGGAGGTCATATGTTAAAAATAAAAGTGGTTATAAAAGCTACCATCCCAGGATAGTAACCATAGGTGGAAATAAATCACACATCAGAAAGTGTTTACAATAGACATGGTGGGGGAAAAGCAAGCTCCTTTATATTTATATCCTACCAAGTACAAATCATTCAATAAAATAGTTGTAGCTACAAATGTTTAAATGTTGCTGTAGCCTAAGAGAGGAAGAAAGCTCCTACCTGAAAGACTGAGGGACTCTCCTGGAAAGCCCCCTTAGACAAGTGGAAAACACTATGTATGCTTCAGGGTGGGTAGAAGGGCCTAAAAAAATGGGGAAATGGGCTATGTGTGTTGGCTCACACCTGTAATCCCAGCACTTTGGGAGGCCAAGGCGGGTAGATCATGAGATCAGGAATTCGAGACCAGCCTGGTCAATATGATGAAACCCTGTCTCTACTAAAAACACAAAAATTAGCCAGGCATGGAGGCACGTGCCTGTAATTCCAGCTACTTGGGAATCTAAGGCAGGAGAATCACTTGAACCTGGGAGTCAGACGTTGCAGTGAGCAGAGATCACACCACTGTACTCCAGCCTGGGCAACAGGCGAGACTCCTTCTCAAAAAAAACAGGCAGAGGCGGGGGGTGCTTCAGCCGGGGGTGGTGGCTCACACCTGTAATCCTAGCACTTTGGGAGGCTGAGGTGGGAAGATCACAAGGTCAGGAGTTCGAGACCAGCCTGGCCAATATGGTGAAAACCCACCTCTACTAAAATACAAAATGAGCTGGGCATGGTGGTGCATGCCTGTAATCCCAGCTACTTAGGAGGCTGAGGCAGAAGAATCACTTTAACCCGGGAGGCAGAAGTTGCCGTGAGCCAAGATCTTGACACTGCACTACAGCCTGGTGACAGAGTGAGACTGTCTCAAAAAAAATAAAAAGGTAATCGAATTAGAAAATCTGCTTAGGATGGTACTAAATATAAGGTTGAACTACCAATCACAGTTTTGCCTTCAGTCAGCCCTAATATTTCAGTGGCTCAGCTAAACTCATTAGTTGAAAAGGGGCAGCAAATATTTTGTATTACTCTAAATAACTCAAAGCATCCTACTGCTACAACTTATTAGATGTCAAATATGTAGCATCACCTGTCAAAAACCTATTCTTTTGTTAATATTCAGCTTGGATATGACTTCCATCCAAAAGCCATTCTCACATCCCCAACCTATACTGCATTTCTCTTCTTGATATATATAGAATACACAAGCTTATATTCCAATTACTGTAACTAAAGACTATGAGGTCCGTTATGTGTTGGTGTCTCTTCCCCTAGACAATTAGGCTTTTGAAGATAAGAACAGTGTCAGGGGAGAATCCAAGATAGCCGAATAGGAACAGCTCCAGAGTGCAGTTCCCAGCAAGAACAATGCAGAGGGTGAGTGCTCATCACATTTCCAAACAAGTTTGCACTGAACACAGACCAGGAGATTCCCAGGCCAAAAAGCGCTATGAGTTTTCAGCACAGCTGGTGCAGCAGGTTGGTGCACAGAAACTCACACAAATCTGGGCAGTCAGCCATTTCAACTGGTGCCTGGAATGCCTGGGAGACAGAGCCACCCATTCAACTGAAAGGGAGGGGGCTGAGACAGGGAGTCAGTCGATGTGGCTAGGCAGGTACCACCCCCACAAAACAAGCAATCTGAAATGCTCTGGATTGAGAGTTTCGCAGCAAGCACAGCTGGACCTGGGACAGTCCAGCTCAGTGAGGGGGATGGGCATCTGCCACTACTGAGGCAGTCCACCAATACCAAGGCAGTTCACACAGCACCTGGGCAGAGCCTGTGGCAGCTCAGCAACACCTCTGCTGGCAGACTGTGACTAGACTACTCCATGTGTGGCAGGGCATCTCTGAAAAAAGGCAGCAGCATGTCAGACACATATAAATAAAGCCGACCTTCCTAGGTCAGAGCACCTGAGAGAAGAGGTGGTTATGAGTTCCTCTGCAACAGAAGCAAAGGGACCTGCCCATCAGGTCTGCACAGAACAACAAAGCTCCCAGTACAGCACTTGAGCTCCTGTAAGGGACAGACTGTCTCCCCAAGCACCTCCCCGTCCCCCATATACCCAAAGAGATACCTCATAAAAGAGAGCTCAGGCTGACATCTGGTGGGTACCCTTCTGGGATGAAGATAACAGAAGACGAAACCAGCAGCAACCCTTACTGCTCTGCAGCCCCCGTGGGTGATCCCCAGGCAAGCAGGGTCTGGAGTGGACCTCCAGTAGTCCTGCAGCAGAGGGGCCTGTTAGAAGGAAAACTAAGAAACAGTAAGAAAATAACTTCAACATCATCAAAAAGAATGTCCACTCAGTGACCCCATCTGAAAGTCACCAATTACAAAGAACACAGGTAGATAAAGCCACTTAGACAGGAGGAACCCAGCACAAAAAGGATGAAAACGCGAAAAACCAGAATGCCTCTCCTCCTCCAAGGGACCACAACTTCTCATCAGCTAGGGATCAAAGATGGATGGAGAATGAATCTGATGAACTAACAGAAACAGGCTTCAGAAGGTGGGTAATAACAAACTTCTCAGAGCTGAAAGAACACGAGCTAACCCAATGCAAAGAAACTAAGAACCTAGAAAAAGGGTTAGCTGAGATGCTAACTAGAATAAACAGCTTAGAGAAGAATATAAACAACTTGATGGAGCTGAAAAACACAGCACAAGAACTTAGCAAAGCATATACAAGTTTCAATAGCCAAATAGACCAAGCAGAAGAAAGGATATCAGAGATTGAATATCAACTCAATGAAATAAAATGAGAAGGCAAGAATAGAGAAAAAGAGCAAAAAGAAATGAACGAAGCCTCCAAGAAATATGGGATTACATGAGAATACCTAATCTATGTTTTATTGGATGTACCTGAATGTGACAGAGAGAATGAATCCAAGATGCAAAACACTTTTCAGGATATTATCCAGGAGAACATCCCCAATCTAGCAAGGCAGGCCAACATTCAAGTCCAGGAAATACAGAGAACACCACAAAGATATTCCTCAAGAAGAGCAACCCCAAGGCACATAATCATCAGATTCACCAGGGTTGAAATGTAGGAAAAAATGCTAAGGGAAGCCAGAGAGAAAGATCAGATTACACACAAAGGGAAACCCATCAGACTCACAGTAGATCTCTCCACAGAAACCCTACAAGACAGAAGAGAGTGGGGACCAATATTCAACATCCTTAAAGAAAAGAACTTTCAACCTAGACTTTCATATCCAGCCAAACTAAGCTTCACAAGCTAAGGAAAGATAAAATCCTTTATGGACAAGCAATTGCTGAGAGATTTTGTCACCACCAGGCCTGCCTTACAAGAGCTCCTGAAAGAAGCACTAAAAAAGAAAAGGAACAACCAGTACCAGCCACTCCAAAAACATATCAAACGGTAAAGACCATTGACACAATGAAGAAAATGCATCAACTAATGGGCAAAACATTCAGCCAGCATCAAAATGGCAATATCAAATTCACACATAACAATATTAACCTTAAATGTAAATGCGCTAAATTCCCCAATCAAAAGACAAAGACTGGCAAATTGGATAAAAAGTCAAGACCCACCGGTATGCTATATTCAGGAAACCCATCTCATGTGCAAGGACACACATGGGCTCAAAATAAAGGGATGAAGGAAGATTTGTCAAGCAAATGAAGAGCCAAAAAAAGCAGGACTTGCAATCCTAGTCTCTGATAAAATAGACTTTAAAGCAACAAATATCAAAAGAGACAAAGAAGGACATTACATAATGGTAAAAGGATCAATGCATCAAGAAGAGCTAATGATCCTAAATATCTATGCACCCAATACAGGAGCATCTGGATATATAAAGCAAGTTCTTAATGACCTACAAAGAGACTTAGACTCCCACACAATAATAGTGGGAGACTTTAACACTCCACTGTCAATGTTAGACAGATCAATAAGACAGAAAATTAACAAGGATATCCAAGACTTGAACTCAGATCTGGACCAAGTGGACCTAATAGACATCTACAGAACTCTCCACCCCAAATCCATAGAATATACATTCTTCTCAGCACCGCATTGCCCCTACTCTAAAATTGCCCACATAATTGGAAGTAAATCACTCCTCAGCAAATGCAAAAGAATGGAAATCATAATAAACAGTCTCTCAGACCACAGGGCAAATAAATTAGAACTCAGAATTAAGAAATTAACTCAGAACCACATAACATCATGGAAACTGAACAACCTGCTCCTGAATGTCAACCAGATGAACAATGAAATAAAGGCAGAAGTAAAGATGTTCTTTGAAACCAACAAGAACGAAGACACAATGAACCAGAATCTCTGGGACATATTTAAAGCAGTGTCTAGAAGGAAATTTATAGCAATAAATGCCCACCAGAGAAGCGAGGAAAGATCAAAAATCAACACCCTATCATCAGAATTGAAAGAGCTAGAGGAGCAAGTTCAAAAAAACTCAAAAGCTAGCAGAAGACAAGAAATAACTAAGATCAGAGCTGAACTGAAGGAGATAGAGACACAAAAAACCCTTCAAAAAAAATCAATAAATCCAGGAGCTGGTTGTTTTTAAAGATTAACAAAATAGACTGCAAGCCAGATTAATAAAAAAGAAAAGGGAGAATAATCAAATAGATGCAATAGAAAATAAAAAAGGGGATACCACCAACTATTCCACAGAAATACAAACTACCATCAGAGATTATTACAAACAATACTATGTACATAAACCAGTAAACCTGGAAGAAATGGATAAATTTCTGGACACTTGTACCCTCCCAAGCCTAAACCAGGAAGAAGTTGAAACCTTGAACAGACCAATAACAAGGGCTGAAGTTGAGGCAGAAATTAATAGCCTACCAAACAAAAAAAGTCCAGGTCCAGACAGGTTCACAGCTGAATTCTACCAGACATACAAAGATGAGCTTGTACGATTCCTTCTGAAATTATTCCAAACAATACAAAAAGAGGGAATGATTCCCAAATCAATTTATGAGACCAACATTATCCTGATACCAAAACCTGGCAGAGACTCAACAAAAAATGAAAACTCAGGCCAATATCTGTGATGAATAGAGATGCAAAAGTCTTCAATAAAATACTGGCAAACAGCACATCAAAAAGCTTATCCATCACAATCAAGTAGGCTTCATTCCAAGGCTGCAAGGCTGGTTCAACATATGCAAGTCTATAAATGTAATCTACCACATAAACAGAACCAAAGACAAAAACCACATGTTTATCTCAATAGATGCAGAGAAGGCCTTTGACAAAATTCAACAGTGCTTTATGCTAAAACCCCTCAATAAACTAGGTATCGAAGGAACATATCTCAAAATAATAAAACCTATTATGACAAACCTTCAACCAATATCATATCAAATGGACAAAAACTGGAAGTATTCCCTTTGAAATCCGGCACTAGACAAGGATGCCCTCTCTCACCACTCCTATTAAATATAGTATTGGAAGTTCTAGCCAGAGCAATTAGGCAAGAAAAAATAATACAGGTATTCAATTAGGAAAGGAGGGAGCCAAATTGTCTCTATCTGCAGACAACATGATTGTGTATTTAGAAGACCCTATCATCTCAGCCCAAAATCTCCTGAAACTGATAAGCAACTTCAGCAAAGTCTCAGGATATAAAATCAATGTGCAGATTCCTATACACCAAAAACAGACAGAGAGCCAAATCATGAGTGAATTCCCATACAGAATTGCTACAAAGAGAATAAAATACCTAGGAAAACAACTAACAAATGATGTAAAGGACCTCTTCAAGGAGAACTACAAACCACTGCTCAAGGATATAAGAAAGGACACAAACAGATGGGAAAACATTACATGCTCATGGTTAGGAAGAATCAATAGCATGAAAATGGCCATACTGCCCAAAGTAATTTATAGATTCAGCACTATCCCCATCAAGCTACCAATAGCCTTCTTCACAGAACTGGGGGGAAAAAACCACCTTACACTTCATATGGTACCAAAAAAGAGCCTGCATAGCCAAGACAATCCTAAGCAAAAAGAACAAATCTGGAGGCATCACGCTAATAGTTTGAAATCAATAGTTTGGTTTCAAACTATTCTACAAGGCTACAGTAATCAAAACAGCATGGTACTGGTACCAAAACAGAGATGTACACCAATGGAACAGAACAGAGGCCTCGGAGTCAACACCACATATCTACAACCATCTGATCTTTGATAAACCTGACAAAACAAGCAATGCGGAAAGGATTCCCTGTTTAATAAATGGTGTTAGAAAACTGGCTAGCCGTGTACAGAAAACAGAAACTGGACCCCTTCCTGACACCTTACACTAAAATTAACTCCAGATGGATTAAAGACTTAAACATAAGACCTAACACCATAAAAGCCCTAGAAGAAAACCTAGGCAAAACCTTTCAAGACATAGGCATAGGCAAGGACTTCATGACTAAAACACCAAAAGCATTGGCAACAAAAGCCAAAATAGACAAATAGAGCTTAATAGGATCTAATTAAACTCCAGCGTTTCTGCACAGCAAAAGAAACAGTCATTAGAGTGAACCGGCAACCAACAGAATGGGAAAAAATTTTTGCAATCTACCCATCTGACAAAGGGCTAATATCTACAATATACAAAGAACTAAAACAGATTCACAAGAAAAAACAAACAAGTCCATCCAAAAGTGGGCAAAGGATATGAACAGACACTTTTCAAAAGAAGACATATACAAGGCCAAAAAACACATGAAAAAATGCTCATCATCACTGATTATTAGAGAAATGCAAACCAAAACTACATGGAGATACCACCTCACACCAATTAGAATGGCGATCAGTAAAAAATCTGGAGATACAGATGCTGGAGAGGATGTGAAGAAATAGGAACACTTTTATACTGTTGGTGGGAGTGTAAATTAGTTCAACCATTGTGGAAGAAAGTGTGGCACTTCCTCAAGAACCTAGAAATAGAAATTCCATTTGACCCAGCAATCCCATTTCTGGGTATGTACCCAAAGGATTATAAATCATTCTATTATAAAGACACATGTACAAGTATGTTCATTGCGGCACTGCTTACACTAACAAAGACCTGGAATCAACCCAAATGCCCATCGACGATAGACTGGACAAGGAAAATGTGGCACATATACACATGGAATACTATGCAGTCATAAAAAATGATGAGTTTGTGTCATTTGTAGGGACATGGATGAATCTGGAAATCATAATCCTCAGCAAACTGACACAAGAACAGTAAATCAAACACCACATGTTCTCACTCATAGGTGGGTGTTAAACAATAAGAACACAGGGACACAGGGAGGGGAGCATCACACACTGGGGTGTGTTGTAGAGGGGCCAAAGGAGGGACAGCAGAAGGGTGGGGTGGTTGGGGAGGGATAACATGGGGAGAAATGCCAGATGTAGGTGACAGGGAGATGGAGGCAGCAACCACATTGCCATGTGTGTACCTGTGCAACAATCCTGCATAATCTGCACATGTACCTCAGAACCTAAAGTACAATTAAAAAAAAAGAAAAAGAATGAAAGGGTAGCTCAATATAAGAAAATAATTCGTCAATATACTACATTAACTACACTAAGTCAATAATCAGAAGAGGAAATTAAAAAGCCAAATGCAAGGCTAGGCACAGTGACTCACACCTGTAATCCCAGCACTTTGGGAGGCTGAAGCGTGTGGGTCACCTGAGTTCAGGAGTTCAAGACCAGCCTGGCCAACATAGTGAAACCCTGTCTCTACTAAAAAATAAAACAAAAATTAGCTTGGTATGGTGGCATGCACTCATAGTTCCAGCTACTTAAGAGGCTGAGGCAGGAGAATTGCTTGAACCCAGGAGGCAGATGTTGCAGTGAGCCAAGATCACGCCACTGCACTCCAGCCTGGGCAAAATAGTGAGATTCCATCACAAAAAAACAAAAAAAGCCAAATTTATTTATAACAGCATCAAAATAGCTAAATACTTAGAAATTAACTTCATTAAAATCATATCAGACTTATACACTAAAAACTACAAAACATCATGAAATAGATTTAAGACAAGTAAATGCACAAACATCTCATGTTCATGGATTAGAATACACAACATCATTAAGATGGCAATAATTCTCAAAGTGATTTACAGATTCCATGCAATCTATATCAAAATTCTAATGGCCTTTTTCTCAGAAATACAAAAGCCAATACCAAAACTTATATGGAATCTCAAAACACCCAAAATAGCCACAAAAAAATCTTGAAAAAGAACAGAGAGAAAGGACTCATACTTTCTGATTTTGAGACTTACTACAAAGCTATAGGAATCAAAGTAGTGTGGTATTGGTATAAAATAGAAATATAGATCAACAGAATAGAATTAAAAATTAAAAATTAAAAAATTAAAAAATTAAAAAAAATAAATAAATAAAATAACCCTGTATATCTGTGGTTAATTAATTTTTAACAAGGGCGCCAGGATCATTCAATGAAGAAAGAGTAGTCTCCTTAACAAATGGTGCTGGGACAACTGGATATCACATGCAAAAGAATGAAATTGAACTCTTATTTCATGCCATATAAAAAATATCTCAATATTAATCAAACACCTAAATATAAGGGCCAAAGTTATAAAACTCTTAGAAGAAAACATAGATTTAAACCTTTGTATCCTTGAATTAGTCAACAGTTATTTAGATGAAAAGTGCAAGAAAAAAATGTGAAAATAGATAAGTGAGCCAGGCTCATGCCTCTAATCCTAGCACTTTGGGATGCTGAGGGAGAAGGATCACTTGAAACCAGGAGCTCAAGACCAGCATGAGAAACAATGCAAGACCCCACCTCTAAAGAAAGCTTAAAAATTAGCTAAGGGCCAGGCGCAGTGGCTCGCGCCTGTAATCCCAGCACTTTGGGAGGCCGAGGCGGGTGGATCACGAGGTCAGGAGATCGAGACCATCGTAGTCAACATGGTGAAACCCCGTCTCTACTAAAGATACAAAAAATTCGCTGGGCATGGTGGCGCGTGCTTGCAATCCCAGCTACTCGGGAGGCCGAGGCAGGAGAATTGCCTGAACCCAGGAGGCGGAGGTTGCGGTGAGCCGAGATCGCGCCATTGCACTCCAGCCTGGGTAATAAGAGAGAAACTCCATCTCAAAAAAAAAAAAAAAAATTAGCTAAGCACACATGCCTGTAGTCCCAGCTTCTCAGGAGGGTAAGGTGGGAGGATCTCTTGACCTCAGGAGTTTCAGGCTTCAGTGAGCTATGATGGTGCTAACTCTAGACTGGTAACAGAGCAAGACCCTGTTAATAAATAAATAAATAAATAAATAGGCTTCATCAAATATTTTTTTATTTTTGTGCATCAAAAGACACTATCAACAGAGTGAAAAGGCAACCTATGGAATGGGAATACATACTTGCAAATCATATATCTGTTAATTGTCTAGTGTCCTGAATATATAAATAATTCTTACAACTCAACACCCAATTTGTAAACAGGCAAAGGACTTACATAGACATTTCTCCACATAAGTTATACAGATGGTCAAAAATTACATGAATAGATGCTCAATATCATTAGTTATTAGGGAAATCCAAATCAAAACCACAATGAGGTACCACTCCACATCCACTACAATAGTTATAATTTTTCTCAAAAAACTGAATATAACAAGTGTTGATGAGAATATGAAAAAATTGGAATTCTCTTCTTTGGCTAGAGTCACAGAGAAAAAAAAGGAATTCTCATGTAGTCTTGGAGGAAATGTAAAATTATGCAGTCACTTTTGAAAATAGTTTGTGGCCAGGCGCGGTGGCTCACGCCTGTAATCCCAGCACTTTGGGAGGCCGAGGCGGGTGGATCACGAGGTCAAGAGATAGAGACCACCCTGGTCAACATGGTGAAACCCCATCTCTACTAAAAATACAAAAAATTAGCTGGGCATGGTGGCGCGTGCCTGTAATCCCAGCTACTCAGGAGGCTGAGGCAGGAGAATTGCCTGAACCCGGGAGGCGGAGGTTGCGGTGAGCCGAGATCACGCCATTGCGTTCCAGCCTGGGTGACAAGAGCGAAACTCCGTCTCAAAAAAAAAAGAGAGGCAGGGCGCGGTGGCTAACGCCTATAATCCCAGCACTTTGGGAGGCCGAGGCGGGTGGATCACGAGGTCAAGAGATAGAGACCACCCTGGTCAACATGGTGAAACCCCATCTCTACTGAAAATACAAAAATTAGCTGGGCATGGTGGTGCGCGCTTGTAGTCCCAGCTATTCCGCAAGGCTGAGGCAGGAGAATTGCTTGAACCCAGGAGGCGGAGGATGCGGTGAGCTGAGATCGCGCCATTGCACTACAGTCTGGGTAACAAGAGTGAAACTCCGTCTCAAAAAAAGAAAAGAAAATAGTTTGTCAGTTTCTAAATAAGTTAAAAATAGAAGAAGTACCATAGGACTCAGCAATTCCACTCCTAAGTATATACCCAAAATAATTAAAAACAGATTTCAAATAAAAACCTATACATGAATGTTCATAGCAGTACTATTCACAATAGCCAAAAAAAACCCAAATGTCCATCAACTAATAAATGTATTTTAAAATGTGGTTTATCCAAGTGATTTAATATTATTCAGTCATAAAAAGGAATTAAGTACTGAAACACAATACAACACAGATAAACTTCAAAAACATTATGCTGACTGGAGAGATCAAGGCAGACAAGAAGCAGACTACATTGCAGCTCCCACTCGGACAGACAGAGCAGTGTGTGGAGGCCCACATCATGAACTTTTACTTCAGAACAACTTCAGGAATCAATCACGAAAGCTAAGAGAACCTACAGACCCTCCGAAGAAAGCAGATTGCTCCTGCAGGACTCAGGAAACACCCCAAACTCTGTGAGTGTCCAAGCTGTGGAAGTGGGAAAGGGGAATTGTCCACCCCTAAAATCAAATTCTCACTGTGAAACCTGAAGGTCTGGATCACAGGAGAAGATACTGACCTTACCTGGAGCTGAGTCAATTTAGAGAGCCAAGTGAAATAAGGGGTAAAAGAAAACACAGGAAAAGTCCTGTGGGCTCGCTGGGTCCCCTAGCAAGCCATTTCTGCCTTGCCTCATAGGAGTCCTCAGAGAGGGCTGCCAGAGGCACTGGGGAAGGGTCACAGGGAGAAGGAAACCTCCAGATGAACTTCATAACAATTATAACTAATCAAGAAGTCTCCTGGCCAGAACTCGGGGAAGGGTGTGAATCCAGTCTGCAGACCCCATAGCCCTACTTGCTTTCGCAGCTGGAAAACAGGTAGGCTGGAGTAAGTTCTCAATCCTGCTTGCCAACTGCCTGGAAACAGACTTGGTGTTATTGCGGGGAGGGGCATAGTGGGAGTGAGACTCTCCTTAGGTCCCACTAGGCCCCACCTCAAACATATTTCAGCATAAGATTTGGAGGGGACAAACCTCCAAACCATATCACTACGTATAGAAAATACTGATGCAGGGGTTCGATCCAAAGATTTTTATGTAATTTGTCTGGCATAACACCTGAATATCAGGAGGTTTTTTTTTCTTCTTTACTGTGTGACTCTAGCCAAAGAAAGAGTGTTAAACAGTCCCCTCAGGTGCTTCTAATGACTGGCCTAGACCATTGCTACTCAGTGTGGCCTGTGAACCAGCAAGGTCAGCATTACCTAAGAGCTTGTCAGAAAACCACTCTCTCAGGTCCCAACCTTCTGAATCAGACTCTGCAATTTGACAAGATGTCCAGGTGACTCATATGCACATTAAAATTTGAGAACTCCTAACACAGATTGTCACTGAATCTTCATTTCACTTACAAGCTGCGCCAGGAGCCATCAATGAAGATTTTCTCCTCGCTTATCATTGTCACCTTTCCTTAGGAGTCATCTTTGAAGAAGTAGATTAAGAGGACCCTAGGAAGAAATCTCAATTTTTCAGGAGAAAAACAAAAGGTCAATTTTTTTTTTTTAAATTGAAGCTAAGGCTGGGCATGGTGGCTCATGCCTATAATCCCAGCACTTTGGGAGGCCGAGGCAGGTGGGTCACAAGGTCCGGAGTTCAAGACCAGACTGGTCAACATGGTGAAACCCCATCTCTACTAAAAAATACAAAAATTAGCTGAGCATGGTGTCTCGTGCCTGTAATCCCAGCCACTTGGGAGGCTGAGGTAGGAGAATTGCTTGAACTGGGACCTAGGAGGTGGAGGTTGCAGTGAGCTGAGGTCATGCCACTGCACTCCAGCCTGGGCTACAGAGCAAGACTCCATCTCAAAAAAAAAAAAGTTGAAGCTAAATCTATTTCTAATTTGCACTAGTTTCAAATTATCCACTGTTAGAAAGTGAAATGAGTGGAAACAGACAATTTGACTAAATTTGTCAATTAAATGACTTTTGTACATGAACAATTTTGGAATTCCTTGAACATTAATTACACATTATTGGATCATTCAAGTCTGCTCCCACCCAACACCAACCACGTGGTCTTTATGGTGAAAGACTTCAAGAATATTTAGTGAATTTAATTTTTTAGTGACCAACAGAATATACTTTTCTGTTTCTCTGTATTAAAGCACTTCATTTAATCTACAGAGAAAAGATATGTTTACCAATATGTCTCAGCTTCAGAATTACAATAATAGGCAAAACTACCATTTATTTCACTGATCTCCACAGAGGATCACTCCTTAATAGAACACAATCTGTTTCTAATAGAAAGCCGCTTGAAATTTGGTAATTTCCCAGCTCCTCTGTTTCCCTAATTCTAGCCAATATACTAGAATTGATAATACATATATACAAGCTAATATACAAAATCTAGGTGAGCCCCAAGGGTTGGAAAGAGAATGCTCTCCAGGGAAATTTGGGTAAGCCACTTGAGACCACATGGGGAGAGACACAGAAATTTACAGTAATCCCTGAGAGGAAACATAGAATCACATGTTAACATCTCGGCAAATTCTGAGAAAAGCCTCTGGAGTTTCCGGGAATGAAAGGCAACAAACCACATATAATGCCCTCACCTGGAGTTTTCCTCATCAGAGCTTGAGGAGATGCTTGATGCTGAGGTTATGCTCAATTCTCCCATGCCCACCGCCCTCTCCACGCTGAGCCAGGAAAGCCATCACTGTGTGTAAGAAAAAGAAAAGGATTCATGGTTTGAGCTACAACCACTGCTGTGATATACTACGGAGTCTCTTTGACTTTATAAATCTTATTAGGCACTGTTTCTCTGCAAAGACTCAAAGGAGGCAGTATAATAGTATAGGATTCACAGTTCCATATGTGAATCCAGGATGTATATTCATTGGATAAAAATTCATGCCTGGCCGGGCGTGGTGGCTCACGCCTGTAATCCCAGCACTTTTGGAGGCCGAGGCGGGTGGATCACGAGGTCAAGAGATAGAGACCATCCTGGCCAACATGGTGAAACCCTGTCTCTACTAAAAATACAAAAAATTAGCTGGGCATGGTGGCACGTGCCTGTAATCCCAGCTACTCAGGAGGCTGAAGCAGGAGAATTGCCTGAACCCAGGAGGCGGAGGTTGCGGTGAGCCGAGATCGCACCATTGCACTCTAGCCTGGGTAACAAGAGTGAAACTCCATTTCAAAAAAAAATGCCCTTCTCTCAGCCTCATTTGTAAAATGAAGTTAGATCATCATACCATTTCTTCTAATTCTATGATTTTGTGGTTATTAACAACCATCTTTCTGAAAACAATCTTACTTGCCAGGAGTAATCAGGTGGTATGTTCCTTCTCTCAGGTTACCTGGGAAGACGGTATACTAAATGAGGGGCATTCGAAAGTAGGTTATTAAATCAAGCTATCACACTTAGGGTGGTGGACTGGTGGGTTGATTGGTGTTTCTTGTACTGGAAAGGAGTACAGTTCATGAAAGAGCTGGTCTCCTAGGATTGTAGCTCAAATAATGATATATCTCAAAAACAAGAGAAACAATATGTTTGTGGCAAAAAATAATGGATATTCCATTCTAATTACCTAACTATTCCCAGACAGAATTTTGGAGAATTTGGAGGGTGATGTTATATAGAACTTTGTGGAATCAGGTTATTCCATCAATGCAGAAACTCTGAAATTGGTTCCTTGGGTTTTTTTATTAAGCTCCCCACTCTTTGATCATTCCATTACTTATCTATACTTCTCCAAAGGCTTCAGGAAAAACAATGTTGCTGCTAATAAAATACTTACAGAGTAGGGTAGTAGAAAAGATGAAATGTGGTGTGAAGTTGTCAGTGTATAATGGAGAATGTCCTAAACTGTTACTCTCATCAAGCGGGCATGGTCCATTTTTCAGAACAAAGGGCAGGAGGCTCAGATCTCCCAATTCTGGTTCCCAATTTAAATCTGAGCCTGGAATTGTTCTCTGACCTGTGTATAGTAGAGAAAGTGATTTATTTATGTTTCATAAATAACAATGTGGAAATCACCTATTGAGCACCTTATTCAATGAAGATGGTAAACAAATACCTTTTAAATTCACCATTAATTAAAAAGCTGGACAACTTCAGAACTTGGATGCTCCAAATTTCCTTTTTTATGCATCTTAAAAACTACCACAAAACTAGTGATGTGGAAGTTTAAATCTTCCACATTTTCCACATCGTGTATTCCTAAGGATACATGATCCTTCCTTCAAATTCTGTATTTTTTATTGCCTTTCACATTTTTCTCTTACATTCCTGACAGAGTTATGACTGGTGACCTACAATACACAAGACAAGAGATATGAATTTAACAAGAAACTCAATATTGAAACTACCTTTTTGTTTTTTGGTTTTTTTGGTGAGGTGGAGTCTCGCTCTGTTGCCCAGGCTGGCATGCAGTGGTATGATCTAGGCTCACTGCAACCTCTGCCTCTTGAGTTTGAGCAATTCTCTTGAGCAAAAATTCTCTTGAGCAAAAATTAGCTGGGTTTGGTGGTGCATGCTTGTAGTACCAGCCTCCCAAGTAGCTGGTACTACAAGCATGCACCACCAAACCCAGCTAATTTTTGTGTTTTTAGTAGAATTGGGGTTCCACCATGTAGGCCAAGCTGGTCTGAAACTCCTGGCCTCAGTGATCTGTCCATCTTGGCCTCCCAAATTGCTGGAACTACAGGCATAAGCCACTGTGCCCAGCCAAAACTACCACTATTTTAAGGCTTAATCAGCATATTTTAAATATTAATCAAGTATGAGATTACTGTTGTTTAAACACATTTGTATATTTTATTTAATTCTTAAATACATAAATTTGTTGCTACTGAAAAGTACATACCTAGTCAAATATTTGAAAATGTCCTTTCCTTCCTTTCAGTAAACAAAATTCTAATAGATAAGATTGCACATAAAAACCCATTTGATCTCAGATTCTTTTAGAAAATCCCTTTGCTTTTATCAACCACAATGCTCACTAAATAAACTAAATTTTTGTATTGAAAATGTCATTTTATTTATTTCATCTACATGGTATCTGATTACAAAAAGATAGTTCCTGTTTGTATAGTATGTATAAAAAAACATAAATACTGCCAAATCATTAGATATTTTTAAAATATGATCAAGGGGTTGTCTCTCTATGCAGCAAACTGTTTTGTTGTCAAAGATCTAACCCAATTTCATATCAGTTATCCTCAAAATGTCTCTTTTAACAAGTTAGGCTAAATAAGAGAAAATTGATAAGCTTGTGCTAGAAAACCCATAATCAACGTTGGAAAAACAAATCAAAAGCTGAAAAGGTCTTCTTGAGCATCAAAAGAAAAGAAAGAAAATAAATTTGTCTAGTTCTGCCACTAGTGTAGAAAATTCTAGCAGCATTGGATTCTAGCAAAATAACACTGAGACTTAGAACCACAATCAATTCAAAATATGGTAGGATGTATTCCCACCTGGTCTCAGAATATCTTGTGTATATTCCTGTGTACTCAAGTTCTTATCTCAATAAAGGTCTCGAGATGTGTAGAAAGCAAAGAAATTTGGATTACAATCATGTCTTTCTTCTTCGTAGATTTAAGATCCATGAACAGGTCAGCAACACACGTTGTAACAGAGTTTATTCTCCTGGGATTCCCTGGTTCCTGGAAGATACAGATTTTCCTCTTCTCATTGTTTTTGATGATTTATGTCTTGACCTTGCTGGGAAATGGAGCCATCATCTATGCAGTGAGATACAACCCACAACTACACAACCCCATGTACTTTCTGTTGGGAAACTTTGCCTTCCTTGAGATCTGGTATGTTTCCTCCACTGTTCCTAACATGCTAGCCAACATTCTTTCCAAGACCAAGGCCATCTCATTTTCTGGGTGCTTCCTTCAGTTCTACTTCTTCTTTTCACTGGGAACAACTGAATGTCTCTTTCTGGCAGTAATGGCTTATGATCGGTACCTGGCCATCTGCCACCCACTGCAGTATCCTGCCATCATGACTGGAAGGTTCTGTAGTAAGCTGGTGTCTTTCTGTTGGCTCATTGGATTCCTTGGATACCCAATTCCCATTTTCTTCATCTCCCAACTCCCCTTCTGTGGTCCTAATATCATTGATCACTTCCTGTGTGACATGGACCCATTGATGGCTCTATCCTGTGCCCCAGCTCCCATAACTGAATGTATTTTCTACACTCAGAGCTCCCTTGTCCTCTTTTTCACTAGTATGTACATTCTTCGATCCTATACCCTATTGATAACAGCTGTTTTTCAGGTCCCTTTTGCAGCTGGTCGGAGAAAAGCCTTCTCTACCTGTGGTTCTCATTTGGTTGTGGTATCTCTTTTCTATGGGACAGTCATGGTAATGTACGTAAGTCCTACATATGGCGTCCCAACTTTATTGCAGAAGATCCTCACACTGATATATTCTGTAGTGACTCCTCTTTTTAATCCTCTGATCTATAGTCTTCGTAATAAGGACATGAAACTTGCTCTGAGAAATATCCTTTTTGGAATGAGAATTAGTCAAAATTCGTGAGCCAAAGATGTGCCATACTTACAAGTTCTAATGAAGAACAAGAGATGTTATCAGTTCTTTCAGCAGCCTTTTAGTCCTCAGTCTGAGTAGTTACAGGTTGTATATTTCACCTGGAAGTATGCCCAGCTTATATACATTTTCAACACTTACTACTTAAACCTTAATTAACTGGTCTTCAACATCCACTAAAAAGTTTTCAAAGCCTGTCTTTATTAGAATGATAAAATGGAATTGCTATTTGAGATGCCCTTCTGCTGACATGCCCCATGGTTCATCATTGAATGTCTTCTTTCTCATTGCAACAAGACAATAAACTTTGTTCAACTACAGGTGTGTTCCTAGGAGTCTTTGACTGATGGAAATCAATAGTAACACCAGCAAACAGTAAGGCCTCAAACAGGTTTTAAAAATATTTCTATCTCAACGTTTTTACTTACAAAAATAATATAGATTGTGTAACAAATTAAAGCAATACGAAAGAATTTCCATCTTTACTCCCATATTTACCAATTTTCCTCTTTGCTCCTCAGAGTCAATACATCTAAATCCCTCTGGCACTCAACACTTCGTAACACAGCACCACTAAATCTATTTCATTTGTTTTCCATTTCTTCCGAACATCAGCCCTCAGCCCTAGTCAAGCCAGTTACTTTATTCAACTCTATCATTTTTTCACTTTTTCTTAGACTGTTATTTCTTTTCTTTCTCTTTTTTTTTAAGTTGAAATTTTGCTCTTGTTGCCCAGGCTGAAGTGCAATGGCACAATCTCAGCTCACTGCAACCTCCACCTCCTGAGTTCAAGTGATTCTCCTGCCTCGGCCTCCCGAGTAGCTGGGATTACAGGCGCCCACCACCACGCCTGGCTAATTTTTGTATTTTCAGTAGAGACTGGTTTCACCAAGCTGGCCAGGCTGGTCTTGAATTCCTGACGTCATGCGATCCGCCTACCTTGGCCTCCCAAAGTGCTGGGATTACAAGCATGAACCATCATGCCTGGCTAGGCTGTTCTTTCAACCTAGAGAGCCTCACTTCGTCTTCTGCTATGAAAGAATTTAGTTAACACTTAAATTCTTTAGTTCTTATTTTGTGAAATGAGTGTAATTCATGCCTTGAAAAATATCAGAAAATTAAATCTGATCATTTCCAAAAAGAGCCATATTATAGAAAGAGACATATAGGAGGCTCTGAGCACACGCTGTTCTCTTCTCCTTCCTGTCTTTCAAACCCGACTATTGATACTTTCCTGGTTATCTTTTAGATGTTTTGCAATGTTCATGGAAATCTATATACTTAAAGATGACTTATTTAAAAAACAAGTTGGGATGGATATATGTTTTATATTTATGTATAATTATATATCATATATCATATATATATTTATATATTTTATATATGTAGTTTATATAAATATGTAAAATCTCTTAAAATGTGTATGTATATATCTTTTTATGTATATATATAATATTTTATATGTATATATAAGATATATGTATGTATATATATTAGATATATGTATATAGATGGATAGATACAGATTTGGCAACCATAAGGGGATTGATTAGACTGCAAACTTTTGGGTCAGACTTGTTTTGTCCTTACCTGCTTACTATACTAGTTGTGTCACCTTGGACAAGTTGCTTAAATACTATGAACTTCATCTGTAAAATGGGGTAATAATAACACCTTAGAGTTGTTGGTTTGTTATGACTTAATACTTATAAAGCACTTAGAACTGTGTCTGACAAACAGTAAAGTTTAATAAACATCAGCTTAAAAGAAACAATTTAACTCAGTAAAATATCATGGCAGCTTTCAAAATCAGCTCATGTAATTTTTCTATTTAACAGATACATTATGTTCTGTTATATGAATGTTTCATAATTTATTCATTACTCGATACTATATTGTATCTAATATTTTATAATTAAAAGAATGCTACAATTAATATCTTTGAATATGGCCTCATACATCCACATTGATATTCCATAAGTTGAATATATGGAATAATTTATAGAATGTAGGAAATGTGCATTTTTAATTTGGCTAAATACTGGTAAATTTAGATGCCCTAAATATTGTGGGACAAATGGTGGTGAGGCAAGTAGATATCCATATGCAAAAGAAATAAGTTGGATACCTATCTTACACCATTTACAAACATTAACTCAAAATGAATCAAAAATCTAAATGCAAAAGCTAAAACTACAAAACCCTTCACAACCTTGGATTAGGCATAAATGCCTTAGAAGTGATACATAAAGCACAAGCAACTAAGGAAAATTTGGGCAAGTTGGACCTTATCAAAATAACAATTTTTGTGCTTCAAAGGATACTATCAAGAAAATGAAATGACAACTGCTATGGCTTGAAGGTTTGTGTCCCCTCCCAAAGTCTTATGTTGAAATACTAACCCACAGGGCAATAGTGCTGGGAGGTGGGGCCCTTGAAATTTGATTAAGTCATGAGCGTGGAACCCTCATGAACGGGATTAGTGCCATTATAAAATAGGCCAAGGGAGCTCATTTGCTCCTTCAACCACGTGAAGACACAGCAAGGAAACACCATTTATGACCTAAGTAATGGGCCTTCATTAGGCACAAAATCTGTTGGTGCATTGATCTAGCACTTCCCCAACTCCAGAACTGTCAAAAATAAATTTATGTTGTCTATAAATTACCCAATTTATGGTATTTTCTTATAGCAAACTGAACAAACAGTTTTTTAGCCCCTAACATTTAGAGACCAAAAGCAGGTTAGTAGTTTCCAAGGACTAGAAGGAGAGGATGAGAAAGGACTACTGCTAATGGGTACTCAGTTTCTTTAGGGGTGATAAAAATGTTCTGGAAATAGATAGTGGTGATAGTTGTACAACCTTATGAATATACTAAGAATTACTGAAATACATACTGTAAAAGAGTATTTCTTCATCAGGGAAATGCAGATCAAAACCATAATAAGATATTACCTCACATATGTTAGCATGGCTACTACCAAAAAGACCAAAGATAACCAATGTTGGCAAGGATGGGAGTAAAGGGAACCCTCAAATACTGTTAGTGGGAATGTAAATTAGCACAGCCAGTGTAGAAAACATTATGGAAATTCTTCAAGGAATTAAAAAGAGAACTACCATATAATCCAGCAATTCCACTTCTGGGTATGTATCCAAAAGAACTGAAATCAAGGCCAGGTGCAGTGGCTCACATCTGTAATCCAGCACTTTGGGAGGCCGAGGCAGGCAGATCATGAGGTCCGGAGTTCAAGACCAGCCTGACCAACATAGTGAAACCCTGTCTCTATGAAAAATACAAAAATTAGCCTCGTGCGGTGGCATGCGCCTCTAGTCCCAGCTACTCGGGAGGCTGAGGCAGGAGAATTGCTTGAACCTAGGAGGTGGAGGTTGTAGTGAGCTGAGACTACGCCACTGCACTCCAGCCTGGGTGACAGAGACTCTATCTAAAAAAAAAAATAGAAATCAGGATCTCGAAGAGATATCTGCACACCCATGTTCATTTCAGCCTTATTCACAATGGCCAAAACACAGAAACAATCCAAATGTTTATTGATGAATGAATGGATTTTTTTTAATGTGGTAAACACACACAATGGAATAGTATTCAACATTATAAAGGAAAGAAATTTTGCCATGTGCAACAACACAAATGAATCTGGAGGACATTATGCTACGTGAAATAAGCCAGATACAGGACAAATAGAACATAAATGACGAAAGCAAAATAGTTAAATTCATAGAAGCAGAGACTGGAATGGTACTTGCCTGGATTAACAGGAGGGCAAAACACAGAAGTATTACTCAAAGGGTACAAAGTTTCTGTCATACAAGGTAAGTCCCTAGAAATCTACTAGACAGCACAGTGCTTACAGTTAATGATATTGCTTCATATACTTAAAATTTTGCCAAGAGGATAGATCTTATGTTAAATGTTTTTATCACAAAATAATAATAATGATTAATAATAAGTGGTTGGGAAGAAACTTTTGAAGGTGATGGATATGTTTATGGCCTAGATTAATGGCAATGATTTCACGGATGTATACTTCTCTCCAAAGATATCAAGTTGTATATATTATATACCTACAAATGTTTGCATGTCAATCATATCTCAATAAAGTGTTTTTTGTTTATCTTTGTTCTCCAAATAAATCCGGAAGAAAAATCTTAGCTCCGCGAATTTTCTGCTGTAGGACAGAACCTGGTCTTACCTATCTACATGTGCTCTACTGACCTCTAATGGCCATTATGCTTCCATGGTATGCCTAAGCATGCAACAGGAAAAACCTGAACCCATCCAAAAGTAATATGAAAAGAAATATAGACCAGGTATGACAGCTCCTGCCTGTAATTCCAGCACTTTGGGAGACTGAGGCAGGAGGATTACTTGAACCCAGAAGTTGAGACCAGCCTAAGCAATATATTGAGACCCCATCTCTGAAAACACACACACACACACACACACACACACACACGTAGTCCTAGCTATTTGAGAGGCTGAGGTGGGAGGATCACATCAATCCGGGAGCTTAAGGCCTGCAGTAAGCTGTGATGACACCACTGCACTCCAATCTGGGCAACAGAGCAAGATCCTGTCTCAAGAAAGAAAAAAAAAAAAAGAACAGAATATATTGGTTAATAGAATTTTCTAGTTAACTGCTGACCCAAAAAAAACCTTTGATATTGAGTATCAAAACATTCCAGGCTAGGTACAGTGGCTTTTACCTGTAATCAGAGAAGGGAGGATTATTTGAGGCGAGGAGTCAGAGACTCCTGTCTTTAAAAAAAAAAAAATCAGCCAGGCATGGTGGCATGTGCTATCCATTCCAGCTACTTGGGAGGCTGAAGTGGGAGGATCCTTAACACTGGGAGGTTGAGGCTTCAATGAGTTGTGATTATGCTACTGCACTCCAAACATACCATCCCCCCTAAGCAAGCATCTCTCTTTTTTTTTTTTAAGGAACTAGAAATCCAACAGAAGTGTTTTATTAAAAGGCTAGACTAATACAGTTTTATCCTCAATTATACATTTTTCTATAAAACAGGAAAGTATAAACATCAAATATATGGAAAACTACATTTAAAATTTTAATCTAAACACTTAAGGAGAATTAGGCACTATATTCACTAAACAGAATTTTAATCTTTCTTGCATTGGCTTTTCATGGGTTTAAATAAGAAAATAATTATTTTCACTTTCTCACTTTGACATAATAACCCCACAAAACAGCCTGGCATAAAAATACTGACTTGCTGGCAAGTGCTGACTTGATAGCAAGAGACCCAGACTTAAGCCTAGGCTTACCACTTACCAGCTGTATGACCTTATTTATCTTCAAACCATCATACTGCTATATCCAATACAAGAGAAGGTGTTTCATAAACACTTATGACTTTAGGAACTGAGAACTAGTGAAGTAAAGGTCTCCTCTCTGCCTGCCAACTTACGAGTGGTGCTACAGCAATAGGCAAATAAATAAAAGGCAGGGTATAGTTCTTCCTCCCAATTGTTTAACCATCTAGCAGGACAAAGAGAAAATGACCACACCAGAAAAGGAGCACAAAAAGAAGCAAAACTGGAGAACATGAAAAGGATAGTGGGCATATTTACTCACTGGGATTCCATAGATCCCAGGAAGCATTGCTTTTTCTCTATCCACACTGGTCAACTTTGTACTCTCCCATTCAGTGGGACCATGCTCTAAAATCCTAACACCCTGGATCTATTCTATATTTATCTGCTGAGATTCTGGTGTAACTTCCTCTATAGCCATCCTGCCTGAGCAAAGATAAACAGGACCATGAAGCCTTTTTTGTTTGTTTGTTTACCCTCTCTATTGATATAAATGTGTAACTGCATGGAAAATGTGAGAATCTGATCTTTAAAATCTAAAGTAAGCAGGTCTAGGAAAATATGTGTTTAGAGAATTATAATCAACAACAGAATAATGTTTTTTCATTCAACATTTATCATATACTATAAATTGACACTAGAGTTAGAAACACATTTTAGAAAGATACATTTTCTATCTAGAAAACACAACAGTATCGAACGATTCAAGATGGCTGATCACTAACATCTCAGGATTGCAGCTCCCAGTGAAAGCGCAGAAAACGAGAGGATGCCACACTTTCAGACAAATTGTGGTCGCTCACAGAGCAGAAGATTCCCAGTGGAGGAGCTGCACGGGTCACCAGCGTGACTCTTGTGACCGGCGCAGCGGTTTTGCCAGCACCTCGGCGTGGCAGCTCTCGGTGCAGAGTAAACAGGACTGGTTCCCCTTCTGACCAAGGTTTGGAGGAGCCACACGGTCGCTAGCGCGACTCTTATGGCCAGCGCAGCAGTTGTGCCAGCACCTCGGTGCGGCAGCTCTTGGTGCAGAGTAAACAGGACTGGTTCCCCTTCTGACTGAGGTTTGGAGCTCCAGGAAGGCAGAGTCAACTATTACGGACTCAAGAAGGAAGCCAGACTGGAGATTCCCGGGCAGAAAAGCACCATCACTCTTAACACCACTGTTTTGGCTGGTGCAGTGGGTTGCTCATATTTCGGCCCTGGGAATTACAACTTGGACGTCCACTCAGAGACCTAATTTGAAAGTTGGTAATTACAAAGACGATAGGTGGATAAATTTACAATGATGGAAAGAAGCCAGCGTAAAAAGGCTGAGAATACTCAAAATCAGAATGCCTGTCCCTCTAAAGAGGGTCACAGTTCCTCATCAACAAGGGAACAAGGCTAGATGGAGAACAAGCGCATCCCATTAACAGAATCAGGCTTCAGAAGATGGATAATAAGAAACTTCTGTGACTTAAAAGAACATGTTGTAGCCCAATGTAAAGAAACTAAGAACTTTGAAAAAAGGTTTGATGAAATCCTAATGAGAATAGACAACCTAGAGAGGAATATAAGTGAATTAATGGAACTGAAGAATAAAATACAATACAGGAACTCCGAGAAGTATGCACAGGTTTAAACACTCAAATTGTTCAAGCAGAAGAAAGGATATCAGAAGTCCAAGTCCAACTTAATGAAATAAAACGAGAAGACAAGATTAGGGAAAAAAGGATAAAAAGGAATGAGCAAAGTCTCCAAGAAATGTGGGACTATGTGAAAAGACCAAATTTACGTTTGATAGGTGTACCTGAATGTGACAGAGAGAATGAATCCAAGCTGGAAAATATTCTTCAGGATATTATTCTGGAAAATTTTCCTAAACTAGCAAAGCAGGACAATATTCAACCCCAGGTAATACAGAGAACACCACAAAGATATTCCTCAAGAAGAGCAACCCCAAGGCACATAATTGTTAGATTCACCAGGGTTGAAACAAAGGAAAAATACTAAGGGCAGCCAGAGAGAAAGGTCAGGTTACCCACAAAGGGAAGACTATCAGACTTACAGCAGATCTCTCAGCAGAAACTCTACAAGCCAGAAGAGAGTGGGGGCCAATATTCAACATCCTTAAAGAACAGAACTTTCAGCCCAGAATTTCATATCCAGCCAAACTAAGCTTCACAACTGAAGGAAAAATAAAATCTTTTATGAACAAGCAAGTACTCAGAGATTTTTATTACCACCAGGCCTGCTTTACAAGAGCTTCTGAAAGAAGCATTACACATAGAAAGAAACAACCAGTATTAGCCTTTCTAAAAATATACCAAAAAGTAAACAGCATTAACATAAAGAAGAAGTTACATCAACGAATGGATAAAACAGCCAGTTAACATCAAATGGCAGTAATGCTAAATTTAAATCAACTAAATCCCCCAATCAAAAGATACAGCCAAAACCCAAAGGCATGTTACATCCAGACCTGATTCACATGCAAGGATACACAAAGACTCAAAACAAAGGGATGGAGGAAGATTTACCAACCAAATGGAGAGCAAAAATAAATAAATAAATAAAAAGCAGGAGTTTCAATTCTCATATCTGATAAAATAAATTTTAAAGCAACAAAGATATAGTGGTAAAAGGATCAATGCAACAACAAGAGCTAATGATCCTAACACCCAGATACATAGAGACTTAGACTCAATGAGACAGAAAATTCATAAGGATATCCAGGACTCGAACTCAGATCTGGGACAAGTAAACTTAATAAATATTTATAGAGCTCTCCACTTTAAATACACAAAACATACATTCTTGTCAATACCATATCACACCTACTCATAGGTTTAAATGAAACATTGATTGGCCATTATTAATACCCATTTTTTTTAGAATAAAGCAACATTTCCGTTCTCTCTCCCTCTTTTTCTTCCTCTTTCTTCCTCTCCTTCACTCCTTTTTTTCTTTCCTTCTCTCAAAAAAAAAGAAAACACAATAGTATCTTAGAAGATATTTATAATTTACAAATAACTTATACATTACATAATAAAAATGTATACATATGATTGCTTTATCCAGAACACAGTTTCCAATAAACACTTAGAAAACTACATATAGACTGAGATTTCATGTCTTTCTTGATTTTGTAAGCAAGTTGATCTATGGGCTAAAAACTACCCTATCATCCAGTAAAAAGATGACAATTCAACCTTCAACAAGTGTTTTCCAACCTGGACCTTAACCGTGACCTGGGCAGAAAGTGTTGGTAATAAAGCACTCAAAGTCAAACCTACTGCATTGCTTCTGCAAGAACAGACTAGACTGGGTACCAAGAAAATTTTCTTTAATATTATCCATTTGTGAAAACAAAGGTTACAGGCTAGGCACAGTGGCCTACACTTATTATCACAGCACTTTGAGAGGTCGAGGCAGGAGGATCACTTGAGCCCAAGAGTTTGAGGCCAGCCTGGGCAACAGAGTGAGACCTCATTTCTACTAAGAATTTTTAAAACTTAGCCAGGCATGGTGGCACATGCCTGTAGTCCCAGCTATGTGGAAGGCTGTAGTAGGAAGATTGCTTAAGACCAGGAGTTTGTGGGTGCAGTGAGCTATGATCATTCCACTGAACTCTAACCTGAGTAACAGAGCGAGACCCTGTGCCCTCACCCCTCAAAAAAAGAGGTTACACAAATATACTTTGGTATGCTATAGATATATTTTCCCTCTACTGTAGCTTTAAAATCATTCTAAAATTATTTTTAAATGTCCATTTTGAAATGTAATCCAAGGAGCAAAGACTCAACATGAAAAGGCTACATACTCTAATTCCAATCTTACGATATTCTGAAAAAGGGAAAATTATAGAGACAGTAAAAAAAAAAAATAGTGGTTTCTAGCAAGGAAGGCCTGGGAGGCATAAGAAAAAAAATTGTTATTAAAAAATGAAAAAAGGGCCGGGCGCAGTGGCTCACGCCTTGTAATCCCAGCACTTTGGGAGGCTGAGGTGGGTGGATCACGAGGTCAAGAGATCGAGACCATCCTGGTCAACGTGGTGAAACCCTGTCTCTACTAAAAATACAAAAAAAAAAATTCGCTGGGCATGGTGGCACGTGCCTGTAATCCCAGCTACTCAGGAGGCTGAGGCAGGAAAAGCCTGAACCCAGGAGGCAGAGGTTGTGGTGAGCCGAGATCACGCTATTGCACTCCAGCCTGGGTAGCAAGAGCGAAACTCCGTCTCAAAAAATAAAAAATAAAAAT